ACTATTTGAGGACCTATATCTCATGGGTCCACTATTTGAGGACCTAAATCTCATGGGTCCACTATCTGGGGACCTTCATCTCATGGGTCCACTATTTGAGGACCTATATCTCATGGGTCCACTATCTGGGGACCTTCATCTCACGGGTCCACTATTTGAGGACCTACATCTCCTGCTGTAGCTGCTAATTCATTGTCTACACTTCTGTATCCATTTGAGTGACGAAAGGCATATCATTGACCTTAATGATTACACGAGGCGTTAGGGTCATCATTTGGCGGCATCGAGCGGCACATTAGGCGCGGGATAGATATGCTAGGTTTCGTATAGACAAAGGGGTTGCAGTATCCCCTTGTGCGCAGTTCTTGGACCCATCTCATCTTCTCATCTGTTGTGCAATACAAGAAAGGAAGTGTGACGCTGATCGACCTGCCGTAGTACGACCTGAATCAAGCACAGGTTTCTGATTCAACAGTGTCGTAAATGGCTGTGGCCACAATAAACAAGTATTATTTTCTTTTATTTCACCCCATCTAGGGGCTTTGAGATTTAGTTGGGAATTCATGTGAAAGTGCTATGTTATGGGGTGGGGGGGGGGGTGGGGAGCTGGGTATTCATTTCACACCCTAACACCCTTATACTATTTGGGGCTCTCCTCCGAACTTCAACCCGATATTATGGCGGCCATAAAATATCCTTACGGGGCTCAGTTCTATTAAAAATATGCCGGCTCCGTATAACGAAACAAATGCTCTAACAGGGTCTCAGCGTAATGTTACTTGTGGACCTGTTTCTGTGACTATGCCACACCGCCGACCGTCTCCCCCGCGCCGCTACGCGGGGGCTAAACTAGATGGCTGGGACTCACGAGCAGCAGCTACCGCATCTCCGGCAACTTCCTCCAGTTAATTTGCTCGTGAGTTCCAGGCAAAGGATACCCTCGGCGGTGAGTTTAATCGCGTTTTGCGCATGCTACTATCGTCTGCAATGTTGCGTCTCTTGAAATTGTCAAGTAATCCTAGTTTTGCCGCGATTTGTTCCTTGGCAGAAAGTCCGCATTTTACATATGCCTGAGCCCCGTAAGGATATTTTATGGTCGCCATAATATCGGGCTGAAGTTCGGAGGAGAGCCCTATTTGGACTTTACTGGGGGCTCTTCAAATCTTGAAGCTCCCGAGATGGGGTGAAATAAAGGGGAGGACCTAAACAACTTTTCTGCTGATGTATGCCAGCAGATATTCTCTTTGATAAAATTGCTGTGGAGTTAAGGTAAACCCATTTGTAATCGGTAAGTAGAGAAGCAACAAGATATACACTCAAGTCTGGTCTTGAAAACCGAGTTCAACGAAAGCGCTGCTAGGCATAAGAGCAGTATAATCGTCAGCTGACCGCAAACAACCCAGATGTTACACAACATTTATCGTATCATGAGCCTCGGAACTTGTCCGCTCGGGCACCTTCTGCGATTGTTTTTAAAGAACATTCTTCGTCTTCTTTCTTCTTTTTTTTCATTCGCTCGAAATCATTTATTTATATCTGCAATGGTGTCTCTAGTATAAACTTCACTGTCTGTTTTAATTCACTTAGTGACCCGTGAAGTTTGGCTTCAACCAGCTTTGTTTTTCATTCACCCCATCTCTCTCTCTCTCTCTCTCTCTCTCTCTCTCTCTCTCTCTCTCTCTCTCTCTCTCCTCATCCTCCTCCTCCTTTTACAACTTCCAAATCTGTGATCATTGTTTCTTTACGTTATTCTTTTAATTCCACAAGCGTAGACTGAAAACACAAGTAACATTTCTAGACCGGCGTGTATATTTATTTATATGACAGGAGTCGTCGCGTTAGACAAACTGAGGAGAAAGTCGCACTATACACGGATGTAGTAGATAGGTCACCCATAACTCGACGCAGCTCTTGCACCAGTGTATGTGTGTACATAGTCGGTAACTATGTCAGTTGCCAGGTATACTTGGGGGTATTTGCCAGTGCATGTTTATGCTGAGATTAAAAACATTTTGAAGTCTATAAACACACTGATATGTATAACAAGTAGACGAAATCATTCCGGCGGGCAGATATTTATTTATGTAAGGATATTTGCTTAAGTGTGGAAGGCAGTAATCGGGGCGTGAAGTGTTTTTCAATGCGCACGTAAATTGTGCGTCCACACACATTTGAGACTTGCACACTCAAGGCCGTGGCGTGTTTAAATGTTTGGTGTTGTCAGCGAAATCCTCACCCAGATTATAACTCTCTTCCATGATTCTCTGTCTGCGAAGTCTTCCTCCCATTCTCTCTCCTTCCTTCCTTTCTCCCATTCTCCCTCCTTACTCCCATTCTCTCTCCATCTCACCTAACAAACGTCTGCTTGTCTTCCTTATTTCCACTTGTTTTTGCCAGATTTGTTCCTCATTGTTATCCTTCCTCTTCTCCCGTTGGGTATTGGGTTGGTGTCTGATGCTAATGAATCACGCCGTCCCCTTTCCCCAACAGGTTGAAGACCACTGCTCTAACACATTATAATCAAATGAGACCTGCCTAGAACACACACCCTTGCCACACCATGTTGGGACATCTCATCTATCTTGTCAGTTTTCTCCCCTTGTGTTATATTTCCCTACTTGATTATAGTCACTTCATGTCATCTTCATCCAGTCCGTTTCTTGCTGTCCACACACTTAAAACAGTGCCTTCCTCTTGCCTGTTCCTCTACCTCTTCCACTTGTGTTTTTTCCTGTTAATTTTTCTGGGGGTCAGAGTACTTTGACTGATCATGCAGAATGATGGCCCGGGACCAGAATGGTTATGTGAAAGTCCTAGACTCAGTTATGAGAACCCCTTGTCGGGGCAAATACGATAGGAACATGTCAAGCTGTAATGAGTGTTTGGATTGTATGAAGAAATAAGTGGATTGTATGAGATAATTAGTTTTTGGATTGTATGAGATAATGAGTGCTTGGATTGTATGAAAAAATGAGTAGTTAAAGTGTGTGCAGTAATGCTTGCCTAGCGTGACAATCTGTTAGTTACAGAATTGTTATCTCCTGAAATGACTTGTGAAATAAATTGGTAATTTCTGAGGGAATCCCCGCTTTTGCTCACAAGTGTTTTATATTCATTGCTGTTTTTATAAAACAGTTTTATTTGTCTAGTGTATTTTTTCTGTCTTTCTATGTCATGGTTTGTCAGTTTGCATCTCTCCCTCCTTCTCCCTCTTTGTGTGTGATCTTTCTTTCATTTTCTGTTGTCCTCTCACTGATACCAGGTTGTAGCCCAGTGTCTTGGTTTTCTGTATTTGTTCATTGTTTGTGTGGGGGGCAGGTTTCAGCTACTTTCTTTGCAGAATAGAAAATCTCTTTCTAAAACCCCTGTGCTTTTTGTGCAGTGTTTTGGTATCATCGTCATCATCATCAGCATCATAAACCACTTATGTCGTTAAGCGTCGGGGGGAGGGATAGTTTGCGATCTAGTTCACGTTGGCTGCCACTGGCTATTGTCATGCCGTGAAGTCGTAGGGTGTCTTTAATGTTGTTGATCCATGTTTTCCGCGGCGGTCCTCTTGCTTTTGTAGCTGATCTTTTAAGATGTAGTGCTTGTGATGGTATTTGATCATGCTACTTTCTAACGATATGGCCAAACCCTTTGATCTGCTGTGTATAGTTAGTGTTCAATGAAGTTTTTATATTCCATTTGAAACATTCCTTATGAAATCTAGAGCTGTTACTATTTTTGTTGTTGGTCTTTTTGGATTTCTCTTTCTTCTCCAGCTCCACCTCCTGTTTATTCTTTGAAATGTTTCGTTTCCTCTTCTTTTTCATTCACCTCTTTCTCCGCCTTATCTTGCATTGACATCAAACCTGGCGTGTTTTACTCTCTGTGGGTGTCACCTGACTTCTTCTTTGTACATTACTATATGTTAACAACCTTCCCTCTTCAGTACACTGTTTGCACAGATTTGCATGAAAAAAAAACCTCCAGTCCTGAAACAAGACCAAAGATCAGAAGTGAGTGAACAACCAGAGCTTTTCATTCTAGTTTGCAGCCAGTGAACTCTAAGAAGAAAAATAACACACTGTAAACCAGGGCTGTTCAACAATATTAGCTCAGGGGCCTCAGTTTTGACAGTGGGGCCTCGTTACAGACGAGGGGCCTGAGCCCAACATAGACAGACCATAAATACAGTTCAACTGGCAATGATCGCCAAGCCCTGCTGTCAGCTGTACCCCTCTGGTTGGCAAGGTTTTTAATATTTAAATTTATCGCTTCCTGTGCAGTTTTTTGTTGTTTTTGAAACAGTATCTCAGTGAGTTAGTGCACATATCATCTTTACTGCATAGCAAACCATTCCGACCCTGACCTGTCGTACATGAAGGTTCAACCTGTGACAGCTGTGGCAGTATCGGCTATGGAATTATCTTGATCTTTGCCGTATATTTTAGTTTACCACTTATTTTTGTTGTCTTTTTATCTAAAGATCACACACACACACACACACACACACACACATGCGCGCGCGCACACACGCACACACACAGTGTGGTTGATTATTGAGCATATGCTGTTTTTTTTTTTTGGTCCTAGAAAAAGACAAAAGTACTGGTACTCACCACAAATTGTCTCACAGTAACCCTGGACAAATTGTCTCACAGTAACCATGAACAAATTGTCTCACAGTAACCCTGAACAAATTGTCTCACAGTAACCCTGGACAAATTGTCTCACAGTAACCCTGGACAAATTGCCTCACCGTAACCCTAGACAAATTGTCTCACTGTAACCCTGGACAAATTGTCTCACAGTAACCCTGGACAAATTGTCTCACAGTGACCCTGGACAAATTGTCTCACAGTAACCCAGGACAAATTGTCTCACAGTAACCCTGGACAAATTGTCTCACAGTAACCCTGGACAAAATAATGCTGTAAAAGAGGTGCTAGTACTGCACAGCCAAAGGACAAAGTCCTGACTGTATGTGTAACATGTGTCTTGCTTGTCTTTCACAGAGCCATATATTTTGGAGCCTACGCACATAGCAAAGAAGCCTTAAACAATGTGCTCACTCCGGACACACATTTCGTCCACTTGTGCTCGGCCGTTGCTGCAGGTAATCTTACTTTATTACAGATATGGAAAAACTAAATAGAAATAGTTTTTAGCGTCCTGTAGAGGAGGAAAGGTTGAAAAGGAAGGACAAAGAATGGGACAGAGAGTCTTGTGTTCATTGATACAGTTATTGTTTTAGCACATCATGGAGTCGTCTGCTACTACTTGAAGTGGTATTGAGCAGATCCTGACAGATCATATCTTGAGGATCTGGACTTCACTGATGACATTTCACTTCTGTCTCAAGAAATCAGATTCCGGATAAATTAACGAAAGAGTTGAGTTGAGTTAGAATTAACATCATGACATTCAGGGCATTCCCATAAGTGATCCATCCCCATCTTCAGCAGCCAGCGCGGTTACAGTTCTGATGGGACCAGTAGCAGTCTGACTGTATTTCTGGCTTGTCTTTCTTCTCAAGTGTCAGCCTGATCCTGTCATTGAAAGATCACAGCATTGTAGTGTCACAATTGTAGTGTCACAATTGTAGTGTCACATTTTATACTTGTGCACTTATATGAAAGTGTACAATAATAATTGGTGGGATATTTACAAAGTGACATATGTTCTCATGCGATTGTATTTGATTGTCATTGATAATATATTTGGTTCCAGGAGTCTCTGCTGCCACCTGTACAAACCCCATCTGGTTTGTGAAGACACGGCTGCAACTTGATCAAAAGTAAGTCTCATTCCCCATGACAGTTGTCATATGTGTCTTGTCTTGACTAGTCTGACCCAGTGTCAGTCAGTCTGTATGAGTGTGTTCAGACAACCAGTTTTACCAAGATTAGTCTGTATGAGTGTGTTCAGACAACTAGTTTGACCAAGATTAGTCTGTATGAGTGTGTTCAGATAACTAGTTGTACCAAGATTAGTCTGTATGAGTGTGTTCAGACAACTAGTTTGAACAAGCTTATTCAGTCTGTATGAGTGTGTTCAGACAACAACTAGTTTGAACAAGCTTATTCAGTCTGTATGAGTGTGTTCAGACAACTAGTTTGACCAAGATTAGTCTGTATGAGTGTGTTCAGACAACTAGTTTGACCAAGCTTATTCAGTCTGTATGAGTGTGTTCAGACAACTAGTTTGACCAAGCTTATTCAGTCTGTATGAGTGTGTTCAGACAACTAGTTTGACCAAGCTTATTCAGTCTGTATGAGTGTGTTCAGACAACTAGTTTGACCAAGTTTATTCAGTCTGTATGAGTATGTTCAGACAACAACTAGTTTGACCAAGTGTAGTCAGTCTGTATGAGTGTGTTCAGACAACTAGTTTGACCAAGCTTATTCAGTCTGTATGAGTGTGTTCAGACAACTAGTTTGACCAAGTTTATTCAGTCTGTATGAGTGTGTTCAGACAACTAGTTTGACCAAGTTTATTCAGTCTGTATGAGTGTGTTCAGACAACTAGTTTGACCAAGTGTAGTCAGTCTGTATGAGTGTGTTCAGACAACTAGTTTGACCAAGTTTATTCAGTCTGTATGAGTGTGTTTAGACAACAACTAGTTTGACCAAGTTTATTCAGTCTGTATGAGTGTGTTCAGACAACTAGTTTGACCAAGCTTATTCAGTCTGTATGAGTGTGTTCAGACAACTAGTTTGACCAAGCTTATTCAGTCTGTATGAGTGTGTTCAGACAACTAGTTTGACCAAGTTTATTCAGTCTGTATGAGTGTGTTCAGACAACTAGTTTGACCAAGTTTATTCAGTCTGTATGAGTGTGTTCAGACAACTAGTTTGACCAAGTTTATTCAGTCTGTATGAGTGTGTTCAGACAACTAGTTTGACCAAGATTAGTCTGTATGAGTGTGTTCAGACAACAACTAGTTTGAACAAGCTTATTCAGTCTGTATGAGTGTGTTCAGACAACTAGTTTGACCAAGATTAGTCTGTATGAGTGTGTTCAGACAACTAGTTTGACCAAGCTTATTCAGTCTGTATGAGTGTGTTCAGACAACTAGTTTGACCAAGCTTATTCAGTCTGTATGAGTGTGTTCAGACAACTAGTTTGACCAAGCTTATTCAGTCAGTATGAGTGTGTTCAGACAACTAGTTTGGCCAAGTTTATTCAGTCTGTATGAGTATGTTCAGACAACAACTAGTTTGACCAAGTGTAGTCAGTCTGTATGAGTGTGTTCAGACAACTAGTTTGACCAAGCTTATTCAGTCTGTATGAGTGTGTTCAGACAACTAGTTTGACCAAGCTTATTCAGTCTGTATGAGTGTGTTCAGACAACTAGTTTGACCAAGCTTATTCAGTCTGTATGAGTGTGTTCAGACAACTAGTTTGACCAAGTGTAGTCAGTATGTATGAGTGTGTTCAGACTGCCAGTAGTTTGACCCAGTGATCTCAAATGGAACAGATAAGTAAGATGAGTAGAGGACCTTGTCTCCCACCCTAATTTGTATAGGATATATGATGTTTACTCTAAATTTCGACAGTCTAAATACCACTTGATGGATCTTGTAATCAGTGCCAGTCCATCTACCTTTACTTCCAAAAATATTTCCTTTTACCGATTGTAGGCTGTCTGATAATCCAGGTCAGTTAAAAAAGCACGCTGACAAAAGAATGTTTATATAGTGTTTCTGGCTTCAGTATACACTCATTTCAATTCTTGCCAGTGTTGTGGGGTTGATACAGTCTGTTGACAATCATCTTGTGTGGCCAGTGTTGTGGGGTTGATACAGTCTGTTGACAATCATCTTGTGTGGCCAGTGTTGTAGGGTTGATACAGTCTGTTGACAATCATCTTGTGTGGCCAGTATTGTGGGGTTGATACAGTCTGTTGACAATCATCTTGTGTGGCCAGTATTGTGGGGTTGATACAGTCTGTTGACAATCATCTTGTGTGGCCAGTATTGTGGGGTTGATACAGTCTGTTGACAATCATCTTATGTGGCCAGTATTGTAGGGTTGATACAGTCTGTTGACAATCATCTTGTGTGGCCAGTGTTGTGGGGTTGATACAGTCTGTTGACAATCATCTTGTGTGGCCAGTGTTGTAGGGTTGATACAGTCTGTTGACAATCATCTTGTGTGGCCAGTATTGTGGGGTTGATACAGTCTGTTGACAATCATCTTGTGTGGCCAGTATTGTAGGGTTGATACAGTCTGTTGACAATCATCTTGTGTGGCCAGTGTTGTGGGGTTGATACAGTCTGTTGACAATCATCTTGTGTGGCCAGTATTGTGGGGTTGATACAGTCTGTTGACAATCATCTTGTGTGGCCAGTGTTGTAGGGTTGATACAGTCTGTTGACAATCATCTTGTGTGGCCAGTGTTGTGGGGTTGATACAGTCTGTTGACAATCATCTTGTGTGGCCAGTGTTGTGGGGTTGACACAGTCTGTTGACAATCATCTTGTGTGGCCAGTGTTGTGGGGTTGATACAGTCTGTTGACAATCATCTTATGTGGCCAGTGTTGTAGGGTTGATACAGTCTGTTGACAATCATCTTGTGTGGCCAGTGTTGTGGGGTTGATACAGTCTGTTGACAATCATCTTGTGTGGCCAGTGTTGTGGGGTTGACACAGTCTGTTGACAATCATCTTGTGTGGCCAGTATTGTGGGGTTGATACAGTCTGTTGACAATCATCTTGTGTGGCCAGTGTTGTGGGGTTGATACAGTCTGTTGACAATCATCTTGTGTGGCCAGTGTTGTGGGGTTGATACAGTCTGTTGACAATCATCTTATGTGGCCAGTGTTGTGGGGTTGATACAGTCTGTTGACAATCATCTTGTGTGGCCAGTGTTGTGGGGTTGATACAGTCTGTTGACAATCATCTTGTGTGGCCAGTGTTGTGGGGTTGATACAGTCTGTTGACAATCATCTTGTGTGGCCAGTGTTGTGGGGTTGATACAGTCTGTTGACAATCATCTTGTGTGGCCAGTGTTGTGGGGTTGATACAGTCTGTTGACAATCATCTTGTGTGGCCAGTGTTGTGGGGTTGATACAGTCTGTTGACAATCATCTTGTGTGGTGTGACAGAAGACTAAACACTTCTGGAGTTATCCAGGCATCTGACTATTTAATGATCCTTAACAATGCAGATATGACTGATATGACAGAAATGACTGATATGACAGATATGACTGATGCTGAATCCAGCTTCATCAAAAATATCCCTTTTCTGCTGTGATTTCAGGGTAGAAGGAAAACTGACGTGTCGGGAATGCATCAAACAGATCTACAGACAGAATGGCATCCGGGGTTTTTACAAGGGGATCAGTGCGTCATATTTCGGTGTCAGCGAAACCGTGTTTCACCTGGTCATATACGAAGCCATCAAAGCTCACCTTCAGCAGAAGACCAACCACGACAGGCAAAATGGCGACGGAAGCAGCAAAGTCTTGGGTTCACCTGAGGATAATGATGTTATTGCTGTCAGCAAAGATTCTTTTCTCACCTCAGATTACTTAAAGTATATGTTGGCAGGAGCTTGTTCGAAGACTTTTGCCACTTCCTTGTGTTACCCCCACGGTGAGTGTAGCTGTGTGACAGAAGAGACTCTGCTTGGTTGGCATTATCTAGTGGCTGATAAGAAATCAGGCTGTATAATATTTATCACATGTCACATGTTTTACAGTGTACAGCTGTCACATGTTTTACCATGTACAGCTTTCACATGCTTTACCATGTACAACGCTCACATGTTTTACCATGTACAGATCTCACATGTTTTACCATGTACAGCGCTCACATGTTTTACCATGTGCAGATCTCACATGTTTTACCATGTACAGCTCTCACATGTTTTACCATGTACAGCTTTCACATGTTTTATCATGTACAGATCTCACATGTTTTATCATGTACAGATCTCACATGTTTTACCATGTACAGCTCTCACATGTTTTACCATGTACAGCTTTCACATGTTTTACCATGTACAGCATGCATTTGTTCCTAGCCAGTTTTCCACGATCTTTACTATGTAAAAAGTCTAATGTTGGTGACCTTTGAAAGTTGATTTCAAATCTAGGGACAAGGAACAAATCATGAAAGTAGGCAGCTGTGAATTAACGACTATCTCATGTGTCACGGAAAGTTGTGAATAAGCAGCGGTGTGTGTCAGATAAAAACTTTGAGGAAAAAATAAACTTGTTAATTTCCTTTACAGTTTGTTTTAGTCATGGCCAGCTCCAGATATAAGGCCTTACAGCTCACACGGGAATTCCCGTTTTTGTGATGCTGGCGTGGCTGGTCGGTGGTAACAATTGTTATCAAGTAGATTTAAACACAAACCGAACTACGGTTTAATTAATTTGCAACATGTGTTATTGAATGCATTATCGTTTTGAAGATAACAATTTTCTAATATCCCATTTTTTTGGTGATAGCTGGACAAAGTATATTGTAGAAGGGAAAGAGGAAGATGCTGAGAAAAACATTGTGTTTGTCTTTTAGAAAAGTTGTTTAAAGCAGATTCTACAACGGGAGTGCATAATTTTTGGCTGAGTGCCATTTAGTTAAAATAAAGTGAACCAACTACCGTATCTCTGTGCAGTCAAAGATGGCCTGTAGAGGGGTTCCTGAACTTATTTACAGAAGCACAGAAAAACCATTAGAAAATATCAAGCCTGTTTTTTTAAACACAAACATATGACCAAAAGGTAAACTCTCTTTGTCCTCACATTCACCAGTAACAGTAGGTGTTGTCATTTCTCTTTTGATGAGACATTTTACTGCTTCTGTTCCTTGAAGTGACATTATGTTGCCAGCTTGCATTGATGTTGACATCATCTGGATTGTTTATTCCAGGAATAAGAGTTTGGTTTATTAAAAACAATAATTATTTTCATCTTGCCATTAGCAACATTGTTTGACTTTGTTTTTCTGTGTTTCACAGAGGTTGCCCGAACGCGACTTCGAGAAGAAGGATCACGCTACAACTCATTTTTCCAGACGCTGTACCTGGTCTTCAAAGAAGAAGGCAGAGCTGGGTTGTATCGCGGCCTAGGGACACAGTTGATCCGACAGATTCCAAACACAGCTATCGTCATGGCAACATATGAAGCTGTTGTGCATGCGTTAACACCTGTTGACTGAGAAGGGCTTTCAGAGGAGAGTTGAGATTTGAACACATTACATCCGCAGATTTGCGAGCCAGTGTTTGTGAAAGAGTTATGCTTGTACCAGTGGGAGGAGCCTGTTCTGTAATTGGATATGGTTGTAATGTCACCTGGTGACAGGAGCAGACGTGGGAAAACTGAACATCCTTAACCTTCTAAGTTACTGTACACAGTCAGTTTGGCTTGAAGGCCAAACTGGCTAAGTCAGAAAGGCAAACTGGCATACTTACGGTTTTTTAGTATTGAATACAGCAGATTATCTGCTGTATGGATTCATGTGCTACAGAAAAGTGAGTCAGCAAACAAGGCATTCATCAAACAGATTCAAAGGTAACAGATGCTTGAGCACAATTGTAATTTGCCAGGAAAACCACAAATGTAATATTTGATGGTTTTGTAAAGTTAGTATTTATTAGAGAATCAACAAGTGTGAGAGGTGGTAAACAGGACAAGATCGAGGATTGCAAGGATTGGGCTAAGTATGATAGGGCCTTGTGCTGTGGGGCCGCTGTGGTAATCCTGAAGGCCATCCTGGGTCAGCCTGAAAACATCCAGGCTGGGTCATTTGGAGCATTGTAAAACTATGGGATGCTGTCCATTGTCCACCATAATTAGCTAAATAATGTGTCAGTTTCCTTGCATGCTCCTACATCGTCTGCTATCTTTAGCTTCCAAACCATCAGTATTTGTGTGCCCCGCTCTTCTCCCACACCTGGGTAGTTCTAGTGCAACCCTTGTTGTGTTGCTGCAGAAATGGGTTCACCTGAGATATTGTTCTTTCTGTTGGTGCAGACATGTTTAATTGTTGAAGATATAATGCCATGAAATGTGAACAGAAATATCATGTTACGGCTGAAATACCACCACAGCATAAGAATCATCAGTATCCTCAAACAATTTGCAAGTATCTTTGATGCTATTTAAAAATTTTGTTATATTGGTTAGCATTTCATGAATCTCCTGTATGTAAAGACGGTGCCTGAAACTAAGCCAGTTTCAAATCCAGTTTGTTTTCTGGAATTAACCATATGCCTTGGAAAACGTATCCTCATACAGTTGAAACAATAATAATTTCAAAGGTAAAACCCATCCAGGTTTTACCAGTATAGCAGAAATTGACAAGCTACAGCTAAAACAGCAGAGTTGAACAAATGTAGCAGGATTCAAATGTGCTTAAATTTTGTGTTATTTGGCAAGTTGACACAACTGCTTTGTTATCTATGGACTGGGAAGTTAGATTACAAGGGACAGATAAACTTACGTGGTGTGTAGCCAGACGCCAAGGATCTGATTGACACCAGGGGTTTGCTAGTAACCCAGAGGTGTTTGCTCAACTAGAAAGGACAGGTTTTCACTAGTTTGTGATGAACTTAACAGAGATAGATTTATACCTGTGCTGTGTAATCAAACTACAAGTTATAGATTTATCCAAGTGGTTTGTTTAATGTTATTAGTTAGTCTATGTGATCTAGCTACATGAGGCAGATTGTCACAAGTATCGATGAAATTACCAGTAATAAACACAAGTGGTGTGTGACCACACTACAAACGATAGATTGACACAAGTGATGTGTGACCACACTACAAACGATAGATTGACACAAGTGATGTGTGACCAAGCCACAAAATGTAGATCGACACAAGTCAAGAATCTTTCTCAGGGCTTAATTTGTTTATTAATTACGTGACTCTTGTATCAGCTGTTTGTGCGTTGGCAACATTTGGTGGGGAAACTGCCCGGGGTGGTCTTGTCAATCCAGGAATCAGAAACTTATGAGGAAGAAACTCGTAAAGGCAACTTGTAAAATCAATAATCAGAAACTCATTTTTATGGAAAGAAACTCATCCGAATGCTAATCAGAAACTCTTGTTTAATAGGAGAACTTACAGAACTAGTTAAGTTTTGCAGTTATGATCGTTGGATTGTTCATTAATTTTGTTCCCCTGATGCCATCTGTGTCTTCACTGGTGCAGATATTCAGGGTTGTTTTTACACGACAGAGGAATCAAGGTTGCTAAACCATCGCAGAACTGTGGCAGGTTAGGATAAAAGCATAGATAAATACAAATCCCGAGCATCGAACCCATATTCCAGATGTTTGAGGCAGACATTCTGACCTTGCGTCATCTGCTCCTCTGTTAAAAGTGAAGTTTTGAGCCAATTGTTGTGTATTCAATCATGTGTGCATTGGGCTCTCTCCATTCAGCCAAGCGTTTCGGCATCTTTTACCTCCTTGGTAATCTGGAGAGAGGGGCAAACTCTGAGGAATCTAGACAGTTTTAGTCAATGTTTGGTCTGGCAGCAAAAGTAATTCCGTTCCACAGTTTTGATTTGTTCCACCGTCCCTTTGTCTTAATCACATTAGGCTGTACTGCTTCTAACCCAGTGCTACCAGCACACACACACACATACACACAATAGATATGAAATCAGTTGTCTTTTATATATGCTTCACTTGAGCATTGTTTGTGCTACCAACTGACAACATTGATAGTCTTGGCTGTTTGGTTTTCAACCCTGTCAGAGAAGTTTTGGAGAAGTTGAACTCATTGCTGCCCATCTAGCAATGGATCACAAACTGTTCCTCCCTTTTACACTTAACGACAGCAGAAGAAATTGATAATGATAATGAAACTCATAAAGAGTTAACCATAAAAACTGGCAAATATTCTCTTTTTGTGGAATGAATTTTTGTCTGGACGTAAACTTGCCTAGGAAAACCCCAACAGCCAAAAAATGCTGGGGTTGGTTCTGCAACGTCCTGTAAAGGATACGTTTATTTATAGAAATGTAAAGAATACGCAACTAACTAGATATTGTCTGTACTGTAATGATCAAACATGGATGTGTCTGTATGGGAAAGTCAAAAGGGCAGTGACACAAGTCTCAGACACATAGTGGACTGAGAATGACTAACCAATTAAATGGTAATTTTGTACAGCATTAAACATATATATTACTGGAACCATTAAATAAACTTAGTTGCCTATTCTCTTTAGGATGCCTTGATCTAGTGCCATCATTTGTTGCCTGTTTGTGGCTATACTAGTTCAGTAGTTTGCAGTTGCTTTCTGAACTGTGCAACACTGACCCCGTTTTCAAAATCAGGCCAGACTGCTCTTTTTAAACGTGTGGTCTCCAGCCTTTTTCAGGTCATGCCCCCAGCCTTAAGTACATGGCAAAACTCCCCCCCCCCCACCTTCCAAGATAACAAACAGATTAAAAAGATGAGGACATTAGATTCTGCAACAAGAGACACAGAATCATATTAATGACATTTTTATCAGTATATGTATAAGCTACTCATAACCACACACAAAAAACACATCCTTCGCTTTTTGTTTAAATTAACAAAATTTTTTACACATAAAAATGAACCGAAAACAAAATGTTAGTAACTGGATTACGACAGGCATACATGCGCTAAATTTCAAAACTTCTTGACGCCTCCCCCACCCACCATCTTGGAGACCACTGGTTGAAATCCTGCCACAGAAAAAGTGAGAGACAGGCGCCGAAGAAGAAGACCAGGGTTTGGCATAGATCTGGATAGATTCTGGTCATAGAATATTAGACAAGTTTAAGGAAGGTCAAAGGGCAGAACATTCAGGTACTTGTTGTGATGATGAGAAGACTCCTGTAGTGCTGGCTGCTCCGTGGAGTGTCTGCTGCAGTATCTGGTTTCATCCGGCCTGCAGCGTGATGGAGGCTGCTGATTTGATTATAATAATACCTATATAACTGCTATACTCAGGCAATGAAAAGCTTACACAAACATATGTGTTTTGTACATAAATATATGTAACTATATATGGTGATAACTAACTGTATATATACCTATACTGTTTTTATGTAAATAATTTTTGTGACAAGAATTTGTTGAAGAATGATATTTATGTATACAGTAACCTTGTCAAAGTTCTGTTGGCTTCATGTTCATTGTTAAAAATCTCTTGAGTGTAGGTGCTTTTGTACGCCATTGATTTGTTGTTGCATGAAGTAAGTGTTGGGAAAAGTGTTAGCACTCTCATTGAGCTCCAGGGGTCGATTCCTCATAAGGTGTACCCCACTAATGTTGTGTGAGGGTGTGTATATTCATGTGCTGATGTTGTGTAAGTGCGTTTGCGCTATTTTTGCATGAGTATGTGCATTTGCTGATGTGTATGTGTTTTGCATTGGTGTGTGTATTTGCTGATGTGTGTGTTTATTGTATGTGCACTGAGTGGCAAAATGTGGGGTGGTTTCCAAACATTAAAGTCTCTACATTAAAGGTAGACCTCCTGTAGGTGGTACTGCCATGTGACTGTGCCAGTTGTTGGGCTGTCACATTGTCTAGGCAACATTAAATAAGGTGGGTGTCAGTTGTTGGGCTGTCACATTGTCTAGGCAACATTAAATAAGGTGGGTGTCAGTTGTTGGGCTGTCACATTGTCTAGGCAACATTAAATAAGGTGGGTGTCAGTTGTTGGGCTGTCACATTGTCTAGGCAACATTAAATAAGGTGGGTGTCAGTTGTTGGGCTGTCACATTGTCTAGGCAACAATAAATAAGGTGGGTGTCAGTTGTTGGGCTGTCACATTGTCTAGGCAACATTAAATAAGGTGGGTGTCAGTTGTTGGGCTGTCACATTGTCTAGGCAACATTAAATAAGGTGGGTGTCAGTTGTTGGGCTGTCACATTGTCTAGGCAACATTAAATAAGGTGGGTGCCAGTTGTTGGGCTGTCACATTGTCTAGGCAACATTAAATAAGGTGGGTGTCAGTTGTTGGGCTGTCACATTGTCTAGGCAACATTAAATAAGGTGGGTGTCAGTTGTTGGGCTGTCACATTGTCTAGGCAACATTAAATAAGGTGGGGTGTCAGTTGTTGGGCTGTCACATTGTCTAGGCAACATTAAATAAGGTGGGTGTCAGTTGTTGGGCTGTCACATTGTCTAGGCAACATTAAATAAGGTGGGTGTCAGTTGTTGGGCTGTC